ACACAAATGTGGTTCTGTGATAGGACATAAATGCAACAATGATTATTTTCAGACATATTGTTGTTTCTCAGGGGCATTTTTCAATGGCTACCAGGGTAAATTTTGAATGTTTTTTTTTTTTTAATTGCACATAAAGCCTAACTTATTTACCTTTGTGGGTCCATGTAATCAACCAGAGAGTTGGACGGGGTGAGCTTCGGCTGCAGAGGGAGAATGCACAGTTCCTCTTTAATTTCTAACAGCTTTGATCTTCTCAAAATAATTAAAATAGTTCATACTGATATAACTTTAATTGCATGTTGTACACCTCCAAACAGTAATAAAATGTTACATTTATTTAGGCAGTTTTTGTCACCTTGTTCTAAATACTTTTGTGACATGTGTTTTACATAAAAATCTCAGTTCTGCTTCATTCAGCATACAGCAGCATGTCACATCTTCCAGATGTTAAAATATAAAATATTCAGCTCTTATGCTTGCAAGTTGCTCTCGAGCTGTGGTCTCACCTTGTAACCTCTGGGCAGGGTGCTGGTGTTCTGTCGGTGTCGGTCATTGTTCCCCCTCAGTGAGCGCCGGTACCACAGAGCAGCCTTCTTCTTCAAAGTGTTATCCAGATTGCAGTTCTCTTGGCTGGTTTGTCGCTGAAGTCCATTGATATTCATGGTGGACTGCATGGTGGAGTAGTTCTCAAAGCACCATAGCCTCCTCCTGCAGGAGCAGTTTAATTGTGTGGCCCGGCCCTGTGTGTGCAGCCGAAAGAATAATGTGTCAAAGAGGAAATCCGTGTCATGTGATGGTTGTGGTGGACCTGCATCTGCAGATCTCAGACTCGCGTACCTTCTTTCCTGTTAACCCTCGTTCACCTTTTTTTTTCAGTTTCTTGAGGAGAGCATTGAAAAGAAAAGGAGGTAAAATGCTGAGGCTATTGTGTATAATTCCCCTTCAAACAGTCCCCTCTACTTTTTGCAATCCTGGCAATTCGATTTATGGTCTGTCAGGAATCAGTAGCGCACAAGAAAACTGCCACCTCACTGCTTCTGCGGCACCTGCTTCTCCCCATTTTCCTCTCTCAGTTTCTCAATGGGCTTAAAGTCTCAGTCCTGTGCTCTGCCAAGCAGGGAGACGTGTCTGATGGGGACAGACAAGAGGCAGATTTTGTTCTGGGTTGGTTTAACACTGCTGAGACAGACAGCATGGGTCATTGGGCTGAAGGCTTCGGACACGGTTGGATCAAAAGACGAATCACACAGACGGACTGCTCAAAAGTCAGGAGGACTGATGAGAAGCTGAAGTCCGGTGCATGTTGTCCCACTGCAACACTCATGTTTTCAAACATATGAATCGAACCTTGCAAAAAATATTCACCCCTCAATATTTTTGTTACATTACAACAAACTACACTCTTAAAGTATGTTTTATTAGGATTTTATGTGATAGCTATACACAAAGTGTTGCTTTTAGGGTAGAAGGAAAGTGATGCAGCTTCTAGCATCTCTCAGAGATCTGAAAAGTGTGGACAAAGTGCAAACCTACCAAATCATGACAGTCCACTTAAACCGAAGAGGTTTAATCAGAGCAGCAGCCAAGAGACCTATGGCTTCATACTTTCACTCTTTTTAACCAAATTTATTTGAAACAGTAGAATATGCTGCTGCATGTATTCAACAACTTGTAGAGGAATAGAAAAATGAACATACTTTTTAGATATTGCCTTGCTGCTTTGCCTGTTTGGTGAGTGCTACTCTAATTGCGTGTGAACTGTTAGGCAATTGGGGGGATGTGTACAAATGACCAAAATGGCAAGACATTCGCCTAAAAACAGCATATAAGACATGTGTCAGATATAGTATATGCAATAAAATTGGTCTTTATAAAAGATTATCAAAAAGAAGGCGATAGTGAACCACATTTAAAGTCTCTCATGAGAATGATCAGAGTGAACAGTTACCAGTTTGGCTTTTATGCGAACAACAACCTCACACATATATTGAGGCGGTGGAAGGTTCATACTGTAGAGATACAGAACAATCCTTAAGATTACTTGTTCCAGTAGGTCTAATGCTCAGCACTGAGGGCTGAGGCTCATTTTCCAGCAGGTCAATAACTTTTAACAAACAGCTAAAGCTACAATAGAAGGGTTTGCATCAAATAATATTAATTTGTTAGAACTGAATAGAAATGTCACACATTTTTTTTTTTTTTTTTTAGTAAAAAAATTTCTTAAAACTACATATTGTCTTCAAATTCACAGTTATGCACTACCTTCTGTTAGCTTATCATATAAAATCTAAACAAAATGGTATCAGAGTTTGTGGGTGTAAGGTGGCAAAATGTGAAAAAAAGTTCACATGCATTAATCTTCATGCTCCACGGTAGCCAGCAAACCTTTTCACCTCAGTACAAACAGATTAAAGATTCCTCATCTGGCAGATTGCATCACAGCAATCCACTCTGCCCCACTGATCCCGAACAGCGACGCTGGCCAGCTACCCACGAGACTGTCTGGAGCACAGATGTCCCATTTCAGAGGACACGCTAAAACCCCAGCCGTGTTTCAGTTTCATGATTTCTTTTCTCCTGTGAGACCATGCCTTTTTTCTGTCATATCAGAAAGGCTAACAGAAACATGTTTTGAAAAGCTTGGGAAAGTCATTTTCAATAAATCAGAGTATGTGTCGCAGTAAGACTTAAATGTTTGTATAACAACGTTTAAGTATGTTTACGTGCACATTTGTGTATTAAAAATCCTTAGCTTTTTTTAATGGTGTGATGTAATATTGTTTAACAACATAAAATAATTTAGGTGAGAAAAAAAACTATCAAAATGAAGGCTTGGAAACTTCAGTCTATGTGCAATAAATGTATATTATGTGTTGACTTACTATAATAAATAACATAAACATTTCAGTAATGTAGCTCATTAAATGATTGTTGTAAACCGCCAACTTTTTTTTTTTTTTATCAGATCTGGACAAGAAAGCAAGCGTGGTGGTGGATAAGGATGAAAATCACACCTTTATCAACTCAAGTAAACATCACATGTTATAGATCTATATTCATAGACTTGTAACCTATCTTTGGAGAAGTAGCTTCTTGTATTTGCATATTTATACACCATGGTTTTCTCACATTTTCAAATCCCCCAACTTCATTTCAGTGGGTTTCAGTTCTAAGCTGTTGAGTGAAGCTTCGTTCCTTCTTTCTGAGCGTTTCCTTGGTGGTTTTATCAGTGCACATATGAGCGTTACTTTGATTAACAGTTGACTTTCCATTCAGCTTTAAAACAGAAGGCCTTTGAATGTCTCATTGGTTATTTTTTTTCTCTCTCAGTTGTTTTATGCTGCACAGTTCCGCAAGCAGCAATAAACCACCCACACGTTTCATCATTTGTTGGAGTTTCTCTGTCTGAAAAGTTATCTGGTCAAATAATTTCAAACTCATCTCATGGTCTTTTTTTTCTGTATTTTCTGGATGCTTCTTAGGTTTGCTTTGGAGACTGCAAAGGTTTTTTTTTTTTTCCCTTCATGCTTCAAGCTTTGAGTAATCTCTTTCATGTGTAAAAGCAGGTGCAAAGGTAGCCTATAGCTCTTGCAATTAATCTTTTGTCTCATGGGAACTTTTAATAAATATTTTTACTTGGGAAGAATTTGCCGAGACAGCATGTAAGGGAATGCAATATAATTCAATTCAGATTATTTTTTATAGTACTAGTTCACAACAAATGTCATCTCAATGCACCAAGAGATGCGATTAATAAACAGAGAAATACATGATCTCTGTAGCCAATCATACCTCCAGATTCAGTTTATTAAGAACATTGATTTTAACTGCATCCTAGTTCTGATACAATGCTGTAAAGTTCGGTTTATTTTGCTAAATGGTATTAAAAATCTTCTATCAACTGACCCAGGAGACTCATTGTGCATAAAGTATTGAACTTTCAGTACAAGACGGCCAGCTGATCATTCAGTTTGCAATAAAAAAGGAACACAATGACATCCTTAGGCACCGTACATTTTCCTATTAGAACACACAATATAAATAATGGGAGCACAGCACAAGCAACACAAGAAGTGACATGAATCATTCCGTTTCACAAAACACAACTTATTTTTTCACGTTTAAATCAGCATAAAATTTTTTTGTTTTATGCAACTCACCATATGCAGCAAGATGAAACACAACGTCACTGCAACTTGTATGTGCAACATTTTATGAGTAATCAATTTCCTAAAGAAACCACTTTAATTTTGACCTAATTCTGGGCGAAGGATTAGGACAATCCTTGGGTGCGAAGGTGGAACATTTTTCAGTCGTACGCCATGACGGGGAAAAAAAAAAGTAAATATGCCATTCTCATTGTCCATAAAGGAGAGACATCACTTTAGAAGATCGGAAGAAGGATTAAGTGCATGGATGCAGAACACAAAGAGATTAGGGGAAACCCAAGGATGCTGCATAGTGATGCGTTTGATTTTCCTGTAGACTCGGTTTCATTGCAGTTCAATTTTATTCATCATTTGCTTATGTTTTTACTACAAGCTTTCGAAAACAAATCCAACCTCACAGGCTTTTAATACTAAATGCCTCTTTATGTGTTGCCTTTACTGAATGAATACTATAATGCATCGCTCTTAAAGGATTGAATGAAAGTCACTAAAACTTCTGGAGTTATATCTATTTTTAGCTAGCAGTTTATAATTGCATCTCCTCAAGCTCAGGCAAGTGACACCGTGTAACCTTTTATACGTTGACAGCCATCACTGTAAAATCTGTTACAGCAACACAGCACAATGTTAAAGACGTTGACTCATTTATGTAGTGCTGACAGCTTCAGGGTTACAGCTTTATTTCCTCTGCCTAACGGTCATTAACAGCTTACGCGTGGAGAGCGTCAGAAACGAAAGCAGGGATGAGTCACACGACTTCAAGTAAAGAGAGTTGTACCGGAGATAAAAGTGACCTGCTTTAGATAAGTTGCTCTGGGAATTTTTTTTTTTTTTTTTTTGCCTCACATGCAGCAGTTTGCAAAGTTTTGCACAATCTGAGCTTTCAGAAACATTTGCAATATGAGAGCAACGCAGCCGGAACATGAAGAACAGTTTATTTACACACAGATATCATTTTATACAGAATAAATAGTGCTGGGAAGAAATGATAAAATAGAGTGTACAAAGTTCACAAATGAGTAACAACCGATTAACATGAATGAAGACCGAATCTAAATGAGCTACTTGTTTGTTTTACACAGTAAACACTAGTCAGAAATCGGACATACTGATCAATCGTCTTTGGAATAAAAAAATACATCACATGCTTTACTTTCACCCTTTTGCAATCTGATATATGACACAATAGGTAAAATTGGCTTAAAATCAACAGAACTCAGTGAAATAAATTCAAAGCGCAAGCATATAAAGGTTCAATGTTTAATCAGCAGAGACAGAATGTCTGTGTTCACTTTTTATTATTTGCAAGGAAGTAAAATGATTACATGGCTGAATTGAACTAATTTGAGAAAATTAAGGATGATAAATTCATATTTTCCATATTGGTTGGATGCTGTTACAACACACTTTTTTTCATTCAGACTGAGCTGCTATTGTGGGGAAAATGGATGTTTAATATGTCAATGTTTTGTGTGTGTGCGTGTTGAGGGGGGAGGTTAGTATATGTAACTCTAATAGTGCTATAGATATGGACTATACCGGAAACAGCCTAGTAATCCATGCAAACATGCAATAAAATCTACTCAAATAAGGCTATAAATCATGCGTGATATGGGGGAATAAATCGCGGAACAAGTATTGAAATTCTGAAGAAAAAAAAACATGAAAAGCCACTGCAAGTCAAACATATAATTGAATGTCATTAGTATTTAGAAAGTGGTCCTTTAAGAGCAAATTAACATCAGCTTTTTGAGTCCCAGTTTATGGTCTACTCACTCCAGACCATTACTACATTATTGTAGCAAAACATCCTGACAGCATTGGTCAAAGGCAAATTTTGAAACTTCTGAATACTCAATTGAGCACCATTGACCTGGTCCTCAGAATATGTACTGTATGACAGATGTGTTAAAGTAAATGATGAGAAGAGTTTTCCGAGAGCCAGAACTGCTCAGAAAAAAGCATCAGAAAGGCCTGGGAATAGCAGAAACTGTTTTTTTCCTCTGTGAAAACGATAAGCAATGCATTCAAGCAGCATGGCCTCACTGCACAAGCCTTCAGTGCTGCATAAATTTGTTTAAAATATGCACCAGAACACTAGCACAAGCTATTGAAAAATTAGGAAACATTTGTTAGATCAAATGAGAACAACATTTATCTCATTGGATGTCATGACATGCATTTGGTGGAGCTGTGGCAACAAATGTCCAACCAAAAACACAGACACTGAAGTTTGAAGGAGGGAATATCATGGCGTGGGACTTTTTGCTGCATGTTGTACTGGCAGACTGTATCTGAAGGAAGGATTTGACTGAACCTATTAGAAAGGAATCTGAAACGAGGCCAGATTTTTCAGAAAGATAATGGTCCTAACCACATAGCCAAGGAAACTCCCAGTTGTTGTCAGAAGAAAAAAGATAAAAATCAAGCTGAAAGATGGGCAGAATCACAAAACTTTATCTAACTGAAAATCTATTGTAAGATCTAAAGATCTGGTGCATGGCAGAAGATCCCAAAACCTTCCAAGTTTTAAGGATATTTTGTGTGTAAGAATAAGTCAATCACACCTGAGCAATAAAAGCTGCTATGTCTCCACACAACATGGCTATTGAACCAAGTATTGAGCAAATTTCAGTGAGCACCTTCAATACTTCTCGTTTACACCACTCTCTGGACTTGCATGTTTTTATTTATTTGTATTTATGGATTACTTGGGCTGTTGCCAACATTTGATGCAAATTTAATGTCAAACAGCCCAAAAAGAAATGTGTTCGTTGTGAAAAAATTTCTACACGTTCAATACTTTCCCTGCTGTGTAGGAGCATATATGTCATCTGCAACTGAGCAGACAAACAGGGCCTAGAGTAAGAAATGAATCAAAAGGAAAGCATATGTTTTTTCCCCATAGGTGCAGTTTTATAATTTCATAATTCAATGATAGATATCTTCATACAATATACAAATATTAACAACCAGAGACTAAAACAGGCACTCTTGCGCGCGCACACACATTGATTCACTCAAGCACAACGGTGAACAAATCCTTGTAACTTCTCCCTCTCTGCTGGTTAGGCTTTGTAGGCAACATCAATTATCCTAATTATCCTATTAAGTCTAGAAAACCCCCGTTATTATGCATCTCTTTTGATTGGCCGTACCATGTCTTAGACTTGTACAAAAATATATAAATTAATATAATGTTCCCCCTTTTCCTTAAAACTGAATTCTTAAAACAGTCAACAAATGAATTTCTAAAATACACATTACATGTACATTTTTGAAAGATTAAGGCCTAATTTTAGAAATTCTAGAGCACTTATTGAACACATTTTGAATTGCAGGCTATGGCGATCTAATCAGACTTCACTGAACCTCTTCCACAGAATGAAATATGAAACAGTAAAATGGGAATATTATGCTGTATAATGGTTAATATCTGTGGGCTGCGTTAATGAATACAGCTCAGACAAGAGAATAACTTTGTTCACATAGCACAACATTAGCCTTTTACATGCTAAGTAGTTAGCACAAACTGTTACATATTGACCAAAGAACCATTCATAAAGTCAATACTGACAGGCCATGTTTTATTTAAAATGTATTTATATTTAAATAGACTGAATGAAGTGAACCTTGTGAGGTTGTTGTCTTTATTTTCTACTAATTTACCATTTTTCAACCTGCTCTTTGGTAGCCTTCATATTAGTCACTCTAACTCCTTGTTTGGGTTAGAAACATATTCCAGTATGCAGGGTCAGAACTCTAATGCTTTATTTGCCCACAAAAAATATATATATATTTTCCCAATGAAAAATAAATCTCCATCCTGAGCAAGCTATAATAAATACTCATATATAGTTGACTGTTTACATTCTGAAAAGGCTTAGATACGCTCACGTTATCTAAATATACAGTATGACAATGTTCCCTTTCACAGAACCTTCAGCAAAATCTGTACAAGAGAGATGTTCTACCTGTGCAAAAACACTTCATATTTTCAGGGAAAATCCATGTGTCAGTAAACACTTAAGATGAGAAGATATTTCCGGAGATTGTCACTAAGCAATCTAACAGCCCAGCAGCACTCTGATAGCAAAAAAAACAACAAACAAACAGAAAAAAAAAAACGGCACAAAAGCACAACAATGTGCAACTTCAAGCTTTGGGCACTTCAAATGTTGAGGTAGCAAAAAAAAAAAAAAAAAATCACACACTTATGTCGCATGGCTCGTTCTATAAAAAAGGAAAGTCAGTTGCCTAGATCTCTTTGCAGAAAACTTCCACCGATGCCCCACTTTATACAAACCTTTGGCAACAAAAACAAAATGTGTTTTCCTCCTGAAAAGTGGATTTCTGCTTTTTCCAGGTTTATGTCATGACACCAGTGCCAGCACCAGTCATGATCTGCAGGGCAGCAAGCCAAGCTAGTCTTTGATGTCTTTGATTGCAGACAGTTGAGACACGGTTTTCTTGACTCGCATCGCAGTCAGTCGCGCAGCAGCATTGGCATACCAGCACTCTCTCATCAGTTTTCCCATCACACGCAGAGCCTGGTAAAGTAACAAGACGACATTGTTACAAAGGTGATCTGAAAGCTGTCGTAAAAACAGAAAGCATTACCTTCATTAACATAAAAATGCCTAAATTAACTTAAAACAGTTAGCAAAAATATTCAGTAAATGGTGCAACCTTGTCTCTAATTGAATTGTGAAAATTCAGTCACCCATCTTTGACCCAGCTTGTATTTTTTTGACTCCAGCTGGGAATTGCATTTGAGTCCTTTCCACCTGTACCTTAAGACAACTTCACTTCGCAGTAACATTAATGGACAATTCCAGAGTAAAATACTCATTCTCGACTGTGGCAAAATACAGCCAGGCACAGAGCTCTTTTAATTTTCTGGATTGGGTGCTAGTCTGTTATGTCTCAAAGCTTTTGCCCTTAAAGAAATTTTTCTAACTTCCTCCTCACTGGACAAATTGGCATATAAACGCTTTGTCTTCTCCGTTGAGATTTGAGCTTGCAGGCTGTGTTTATTACGACTTTTGTCTTGAGTGACCATTGTGTTATGCACTGATCCCCACACATGACGTCATCAGCTGCACTCTAGCTTTTTCAAAGGGTTTCACATGTGTCTTGCTTTTGAACAAGAACATGACTGTAAACACCCCTATGACTACTGAGAAGAAAATGCTGCAAGAAACTCGATTGTCTCTTGAATTGTCGACCACAGAGTTTTAAACATACTGATGGCCACCACTGCAATAAATATTTGGTCTTACCTCACAACTCTGCCACTGGTTGGGGATGTTTGGTCTGAGTTTCTGATCACATACAACTTTTTTCATGTCCTCAATGGATGGATCTGAAGGCACCATGTCATAGTAAGGCAGTTGAAAATCTTCATGAAGTCCTATGGTAGTAAAAAAAAAACAAGGAAATTATGTTAATGGACATGTAAATAATCAGATAATTACATGTAATTATGCTGATAATTCACCTATAAAATATTTCTGCTGCTACTCATGCAAATGACTGAGGAGAGGATATAGGAGAGTTATGTTTCAGATACCTCTTACAGAGCATCTTCTGGCTAATTCCCAGAACACCAGGCCAAGCGAATAGATGTCTGCTCTCTTAAATGACTCAAAGTTGTTCATATTGACTGACTCATCCAGGATCTCTGGAGCCATGTACCTGCAGAGAACAAGGCCATTAGAGCCTAATAATGTGGAAAAAAGCAACACAAACAGCACTAGCCCTGCACAGGTCATTTCTTTTATCACTTTGTGGATGTGGCTCCCTTTAATTAGACTATTTGAAATCAGAACGTAAAATACTTTGGAGAATTTCTTCATATATTTTTTTTTAGAGAACTCATACAAGTCAGCCTTGATTTAAGCCATTAAGCAATGTTAATGGCTTAAACATTGAGTCTGACGTTTAAGCCATTACATCCATGGTTAATGTAATGACTTAAACATATCTCTAGGTGGCGCCACAGTAGTAGTAAAGTAGCTTGGCACTGTTTCCCTACCTTTCAAGAAATACTGCTGGGTTTTTTTTAAAAATGTGGTTCTGCTATTCTTATCATTCTTGACTGTCAGCTCTTTAACACTAAATACACAGGCTGTCAGAGTGTCTATTTAGCATTCACACTGAATAGACTTTTATATCCACAAAATATAAAAAGACTTTTTTCTTTCATTGTTGTTTTCGTATGATGCCAGCTAACCATGCAAGCACTTTCCGACCACTTCAGTCTGATTTTAGGTCTTTGTTTTGCAGCCGTTAGCTGTTTTGCTCTAACCTCTTAGTTCCCACTCTGTGGTTAGACGCTATGTCTATGGTGTTTGTGCTGGAATCATGTTTAACAGCTAAGCCCAAATCTGCAATGACTGCCGTTCCATTCCTCTTCACAAGGACATTTTTGGACTTTAGATCTCTGTGAGCGATCGCGGGCTTTCCTAGAAGCAAGACAGTAAAAATATGAGATTAGAAGAAGTTTTTTTTTTATTTTTTTTTATGGACCAATGTGACATCAGAAAGCATAATGTATCTTCTTATAATATCACAGCATGTATTGAGTGGTAAGAGAAGTACTTATTACTGCTTACTAGCACCACTGGGAAAAGATGTCAATAATTGTGACCACCAGTAATTTTGCAAAAGAAATAGAACTTTCTCTTTTTTCTCAACATCTGATTTCCCCCCAATGAATACATGTTCTCCAATTAAATGACATATTTTTTTTTAGTAATTTACAGAGCAAAATTATTCTTCTGCAAGAAAAGATGCATTTATTTGACACATGTTCACCGGTTCTGCCAAAAACACGTGGAGGGGGCAGCATATTTCAAGAAACTAGAGGGTACATCTTCAAAGTAAATAACTGCCTTTTAAAAAAAAGACAGAAAACCTCAGGAAATGAAAACATGACTGCATCTGATGAACATTAAAGTAAATAGTTGGGTTATTTTCTAAGAAAATATATTTTAACATTTAAATCAGTGAACAAAGCAGGTTCTATAACCTGCTGTGCCCACTGAGGGCTTCCTTGGACTTTGTTTCATTTAATTTCTTTGAGATGAGGAAATACATTCACATACAGACGGTTAAGAAAAGCTGTACCTTGTGTGCCAATGATTTCCATGTGAAGGTGTGCCAGTCCACTGGCTACAGACAAAGCCAAAACAACCATGCCCTCCACTGAGACCGTGTACCTGTTCAGGTAGTCGTACAGGGAGCCGTGCTCATGGTACTCTGACACCAACCAGAGCTGGGTCCACGAGCCGTTATCTGCAGATAACAGCAAGGTATGCTGTGAAATGTCAACACATTCAGGCGACATGTTTAATCCGTTCGTGTTATAAACTTGTTAATCTGATACCTTTGTTATCAGCAGCGATGAAGCCGAGAATATTTTCATGCCTGAGCATGATGGTTTGATAAATTTCTGCTTCCCGGAACCAGGACCTCTCGTCCCGGGAGGAGAAAATCTTCACAGCTACATCCTCCCCCTGCCACTTGCCACGCCAGACCTCGCCAAAGCGACCTTTCCCGATGGTCTCCTGCAGGACGATGGTCCGAGCTATAGTCCTCTGGACCAGCAGTGGTAGACCTGAAACACGAAGCTCATATGATTCAAACTGCAATATTTTTGCATAGCTATGAAAACCCTGAACCCATTTACATTTTGACATGTTACAGCTACAAAACTTTCATGTATCTTAGTGGGATTATATGCGATAGACCAACACAAAGTAGTGTGTAAAAGTAAATGATGTCAAGCAAAAAGTTATGAAGTTTAGAGAATGATTCAGTTATAAAACTATATCCCAAGCCATGAACACCTCGCAGAGCACTGTTCAATCCATTGTTTGGCACCGGAAAGGCTACGCCATGAACACCAACCATCTAAGATGTGGCCATCCACCTCAAGAACAGCAATTAATGCAAGAAGCAGCCAAGAAAGACACAATATGTCTGGGAGAGCTTCAGAGGTCCACAACTAAGGTGGGAGTATCCTTAAGTACAATAACTATCAGTTGCGCACTTCTGGTCTTGATGGAAGAACAGCAAGAAGAAAGCCATTTGTGACATAAGAAGTTCCATGTTTGCTTTGGTGCAAGTTACGATGGAGACACGAGAAGCTATGGCCACATGGCAGCATCTTGCTGAGGGGACTTTTTTTATTCAGCAGGTACAATCTGCTTGACAGAGTTAATGGAAGCTAGATTAAGCTAAATATGAGGAAGAATTGAATTGATTTTATTTGAATAGGACGGTGCGTATTAATGACTGAACAATATTGTTGTAAATACACTGGATTTAGCAAAATGTTAATTTCCATCCTTAGTCCAAGAAGAAGGACAGTGACACTAAACATATAGTCAGACCTAAAATGTAATAGTTTAGATCAAAGTATGCAAGTCTTCAAACACCATATTTTCAAGTTGATGTCAATGGAGGGAGGCTCTTTATCCAATCAGACTGAACCTGAGCTTTTTTGGAATAAAAAAAACAGCAAAATGTTTGGTCTCGAAATGGCAGAGATATACACAAAAATCTTGAGACTTTAACAGAATATAAAGGCATGTCACATTTATATAATTCTATTATATAATGTTATATGTCTATTATATAATGTTACATTGTAATTATTTGCAAAATAATTCTGAAAACCTGCTCTCCTTTGTCTACATGCTTCACCAATATACAGTAATTTGTGTTGCTCTATCACATAAAACATGCATATAATATGAAACAGAACGCACTTAAATTTGTAACTCCAATATGAAAACAACAAGAAATCTCAGGCTTGTTTTAGTACATTTGGCAAGACACTGTAAGAGCCTCATTGAGAACGAATAGGACTCCTCTCACCTGACCCTGAGCCAGATGTGCTCATGTCATAAATCAGATCTTTGAGGCATTTATCAGGAGACATAAGCATCTGATCATCCAGGGGCTCCTCGGGGTCTTGCTTATGTGCTCTGCCGTAGGCACAACGGTGTCCCTGCACGACACACACCCCCAGCAGGATCCCTACACACAGCAAGCAGGAGGGCACCAGGATCACCACCATGAGCTGCAGTCTGCTCCAGCCCGGCTCCTCTGAAGGCCTCTCTGATGGTGCACACATAAGTAACAACATTCTCAGCATTATTAGCATTTTTACTGCATCCTTAAGGCTTTGGTTTCCAAAGAAAAACAACAAAACAAGCTTTTAAGAGGATTTGTGTCTGAAATTCTTGTCTCTTTGCTCCCCCTGGTGGTGTTTTCTCCAAGTGGCAGGCGTGTGGCACTCAACAAAGCAGCATATTATCAGCAGCTGTTGCCAAAATTTGCTCCCTGATTGAAATACTAAGAGTTGGAAAAGGCACACCTCGTGCTTTGTAAATTGAAGACGCTGCTGCACGAATGCTAACAGATGTCGCTAATTTTGAAGGTGGAAGCTCAATTTGCAAATGCACCGCTCCAGATGCCAAATCCCTGTTTTGCCTGAGAACCAGAACATTTAATTAATGCCCATAAATGCTATTAATCAAGAGTAATAAAGAGGCTTCTAGCAAATATAATCTTTGCTCTGCAGAACGTAAAATACATTGTATTTCTTAAAATCAAAATGTCTCCCCGTTTAAAGTTTTTGATGCATACTGATTAAATGCAGGTGCACTCGTCGTAAAAATTTAGGTTTGGCAAGGCAAAGTAATTTGACACCTCTGTCTGTGACTTTCGTGGTGTCTGTGGGAGGCCAGAGGAAGCCTGGACACCATCAATATGTGGTAATATGAGCTCTACAGACATGAAAATGAGGCACAGTGAGTGCTGTGCAGCACCGTGCAAAAGTGTTCACACCCCTTTAGCGTTCTCACATTTTGTTACATTATAACAACAAACTTCAGTGCATCTGATGTAAATCATTTCAGTATATATGTTCCAGCTGCATGTTAACGGTTGTCATTTTGGAAGGTAACTCTTCACCCTCGCCTCAAGTCTTTAGCAACCTCTAATACGTTTTCTTCAAGATTTGCCCTGTTTTTAGCTTCATCTATTAGCAGCTTACCTGTTCCTGCTGAAAAAAATATCCACACAGCAATATGCAGCCACTACCATGTCTATGAATTTAGTGTGAAGTGCTGCGTTACTGTTCCACCCGACATGGTGTTTAGAGAAACGTAATCCAAAATATGTTAAATCTCATCTGTTCTGTGTGTTTGCTATGTTTTCTACATGGCTGAATACCAATCCATGCCACACTGTTCAGTTTTCCATTCAAAAATGCACAATTACACACTGCTTTGTATTTATATATAATGCCCCCAAATTTATTTAGATTTATTCATAGATCTAAATGTACGCAACCCAAACAACATTTGAAAAAGTCATTTTGCAAGGTGCTGAAATAGTACAACAGAGTAAAAGTCTTTTGAGTTGATGGGATATTAACACATGCACATGCTATCATTTAAATATAATTAAAATTCAACTTAAATCTTAGGAAAGTTCTTTCGTTTTTCCTGAGATGGACTCACCAGCTGGTCCTCAAGCATTCATTATGTGCAAATCAACAATTTGTGAACTTAACCACAGTTTCCTAAGATCTCTTTAGCCTTTTACCCAATTCATATCCTGCCAACTGAGGCTCCAAGTGAAGATCGGCAGATATGATGCAAAACAAGACCTCGCTCTCTTCTGTCCCAGTGGCTTAAGACCTTACGATCAAGTATGTGTCTAAGAGACAGGCCGCTTGAAAATTATGCTCAACAGGCTTGAAGAATGAATAAAAGAAGAAATTTATATCCAGATTTAAAATGTTTTTTGTTTTTTTTCCATTTCCAAAGAGGTTACACATGATACTGCTATTTAACAGGACAATGAAACCCATTGATTTTGTTGTCCCCATTCACAGTCGACACCATCAACCCCTGAGGGTCTTGACCCCCATGACCTTGTGCACTCACTGACATGCAGATGCATCTTGCACAGTAAATCTGCTGCATTTTACCGAGATGTTAGAAAATCTACCCCTCACTTACTTTAGTTTGAGTCCTTTTTTGTCAAAACTAATATTTCTTATTTCTAAAGTGGTCACGAATTAGTATTTTTTTTATTAAATATTATTAAATTGATCCCTGCCTATAGAACAGTTAGAGACCTCTTATAAACACTATTTTCACACAGAGTAATGGGATTCTGTTTCTGTAGTTTACTTTCTTCTAATGTTTAAAAGTCTTTTGTATTTTCAAAATCTAATAATGAATTCTTAACAGTTATTTAGCCTTTGTGAAAGTTTTGCTTTGGACTTTAGCTCATTTTTCATTCCTTTGTTCACTAAGCTTCTTAATGCTGATCTTTGAATCATTTAGCCATGAACAAGCTGCTAAACTCAAGGAATGAGCATGTGTCGTGTCTCTACAATAAAGGCAACTTTACAAACAAGTGTTAAATTGGAATATATTGATATTTGACATTATTTGTTCCCATTTTTGGTTGGCTGTGTTAGAAACACCAACAAATACAAATGACAGACAGAAAATTGTTTTTTGGCACCTAAAAAGCATTTAATTTTTTTTTTTTTTTTAGATAAAAAAATTTGAACATTTCCACATTTTGTCCCATTTTATTCACAAATCTAAATGTATATTACTGGGAATTCGTGTTACAGGAGAATACAAGGCAATGCATAATTGTGAATTGGCATAATAGAAATTTGTTCTGAGCCAACACTGGTTGAGTCACCTTTCACTGTAAATGCAGCTGTAAGTCTTTATGTCTCCATCAGCTTTACATAACATTTCTGCCCATTCATTCAAACTGAACTGAGCTTCTAAACATCAATTTTCAAGTCTTTCCAAAAATTGTCAATTGAATTTAGGTCTGACTGAGTGATAAGCACATTATATGCTTTGATGTAAACCATCCTCTTGTAGCGCTCTGACTGTTCAAAGTCATAATCTTGCTCTACGATGAACCACCAGGCCTGACTCAAAATCCTGCAAACTTTTTTTTTTTTTTTTTTTCCCTCCCAGGATTTTCCTGTATTTAGCTGCATGTATGTTTCCCAAAACTACAACCAGTTTCCTGGCTCCTGCTGAAGAAAGGTATCCCCAAAACACGATGCTGCCATGGTGTGTTCAGGGTGATGTGCAGAATTTTTCCATTATTAACTTTTCCCGTTAAGATCTGATTTATTGTTTGTTTTTCGGGTAACACTTTATTTGAAGGGGGTTGAATAAGACTGACATAACTCCTGTCATAAACATGAATAAGCCTTCATGAATATTTATGACTGTTGTCATAAAGCGTCATTCGGTAAATTGTGACACTTAATACAAAGTTGACATTATTCAAAATGTCTTTGTTATGACAACTTGACATTAACCAATAAATCATTACTGATATAAATTTGTTATAAAAGTATTACTGATTGCACTTTAAAAATTAGGTAACTTTATGTTATTAAAGGTAAAGTTTAAACAGTAATGATTTCCTGGTTAATGTCACGTTGTCATAACAAAGACATTTTGAATAATGTCAACTTTGTATTAAAAGATGACAACAGTCATAAATATTCATGAAGGCTTATTCATGTTCATGACAGGTGTTATGTCATGTTTATGACAGTCTTATTCAACCCCCTTCAAATAAAGTGTTACCGTTTATCGATACTGTATTTTCTGACAAACCTCCGAGGCTTTCACAGAGCCGTATTTATGATTCGAATAAATCACACAGAGGTCGGTTACAGAGTAAAAGGGAAGTTTAATATAAACCTCTGTGGTCATAAATGCCAAAAAGTTCAAAAAGGGGTGTGAATACTTTTGCGAGCCACAGTTTATTTGTAAAACTATGTGTGCTGACAACAGAACAAAGCTGTTTTAAGTTATCTATGACTTGTGGATTTTTGCATGAACTAGCAGTAAGCAAACAGCGAATAGACTGACACGGTATAAAGTGAACCTTCCAGAGTTTTCCATTGAACTCCAGAGGTGTGAAAAAAAGCTTCCCTGTGCTTTGGGCCATTTTCTACCCAGCAGAGAGGCTCTCTGAACAACATGCCTGACAAAGTATTTATTTATAAATCAGGGGAGGGCCGTCGCATAACCTCTGCCAGCTTTGTTATGTCACAGGATCTAGGCGGATCAGCATCCACCTCGTCTGGCCGGGACCAGAATGAGTGGGAAATCCCTCACAGGCTGGACTGTTGTTTCTGTTGACCGAATAAAATTACTGAGACTAACAGACTGAGGAGATGATGGGTTTTATGCTTTTGTCCGTTTGCCAAGGAAATTGTCATCGGACACAGATTAGAAGAAAGTGACCTAAAATACAACACATCCAAAAGTGACAGAGCAGAAACGCATATTTTGTGGTTATACCTCGATGCAGGTGCAGGGTCTCATTGTTGCAGAAGTCGGTGAAGCAACAGTTCCTCTTGGAGACGTTTTTGGAGCTGTAGCAGAAAACCTGACCCTTCATCTGGGAGGGGGACATGCAGGATTTGACCGTCTCCTCCTTCCCGTCAATCAGCATCACAGAGTTCCAGCAGGCTCCGTCTGCGGTCGTCTCACAGGTGTAGTTGGCGCACAGCGGGCACACACACTTCAGACCTGAAGCACAAAAAAATCAGATTGTGTTTATTACTTCTTCCCCCTCCTCCCCTCCCATCCACTGGCTAATTCATCAATGTGTGGAGAAAAAGCACCAAGACAAAACAGTTTTACTCTCAGGCTAGACGCGGCTCCTGCTGTTACATAAGAAAATCTGAGCTCTTAAATGGCAGGAGGTGGAAGAACCAGAGTAATGCCTCTTAGATTAACACCCGCATAATCTTGTGTTCTACTTGCAGCTGTCATGCTTTATTTGATAAGCTGCTGAATGACTGATGAGCGAGATGGCCCGCCACAGAAAACCTGGGAAATAAATGGATGAATGTTGCACAGTGCCAAACGAAACCAGTCAGGAGGTAGCTCCAATTACATGAATGGGAAAAAATAAATAAATAGATACTTATGTGTAATTAAATAATTCACACATTTGGATATTTGAATGTAAAATCACTGAAATTTTGTAAATAAATACATTTTTTTGAAAAATGACATTTAGAGTTAAATTTATACTTTTATTCAAAAAACACCTAAAAAAAAAAAAAAAGGTTGGAATTAAAAACTGACAGTCAACAAATACGGAAAGGAAATCATCTCTGTGAAAAAGATGGAAAAGGAGCCCTGACATATCCGTCTTTCACAAGATTCTGAATGCTGCGGCTTGTTTACGTTCATGTTAAGCTATGGTCAGCTGAGGCAAGGCAAATTTTAAAGGTTTATGAAACCCTTTACTTCTCAAACCGTTTCTCCAATTGTGTCGAAACAATTTTGTATCATTTTTAAAATGTGAGAAAAGCAGATTTTCTGTGATATTCTCCATCTTTTTTTATTATTATTTTTAAAAGTGAGTTTTCAGATTTAGTCGGTATTCTTTGTTCTTCATCTTTAAAAAAATAAATAAATAAAACATCAGATAAAAGGAATGAAGGTGGCCAGGTTGAAGTTAACAAGACCATTAAAACCGTAGCAGAAAATTTGCTGGCTGGATTGAGAGGAACACCATTTAAATTTACAGTCTGACTGTAACCCTCAGGTGGCGATTAATCACTCTGAGGTGTTTCTCTGTGTGTGCAAACCGTTAAGGCGAGAATTACAAGGAGGAAACCTTTCATGTTTCCGTCGGAACAAAATTCGGTTTCTGGCGCAAAAGGACGTCATAAAACCCCGGTTGGAAACAAGTTCACTCAACTAATAATATGCAATAGATCGTACAACAAAGGAGCTGAATGAGAACACAAGATGAAAAGAGAACATCTACAACAGGCATTATGGTTTGTATTGCAGAACAAGTTCCCCACTGAAGAGTCATGCAGTCGTTAGGGCTGTTGCTTCACAGCAAGGGAGTCGAGATTCAAATTCCAGTCGGGGCCTGCATGCGTGGAGTTTGCATGCTTTCCTGGTTGCATGCTTTCACTTGAATGTTAGGCATCTTGTCTCTAAATTGGCCTTATGAGTGAATTTGTGAATACACAGTAGTTTATCCTGATTGTCTCTATTGTTGCCCTGTGATAGAAAGGCACCCTGACCAGGGTGCACCCTCCATCTCCGTCCCCCGCTACCTCGAAAGGACCCGAGCACCATGTAGAACAACTCATTACCCGTAAACCTAAAAACAAAAACAAAAACAAAAAAATCACCTAAATTCCTGGATAGCCTTTGCAACCACACATGTAGAGAACACAGACAGACAAAGGTATCAAACTTTTAAATATCTGTTTTTATGAGAGAAAAAAAAGAACAAACACTACATGTTCCACCTTAAAGCAAGCATCATGCTGTGGGGGAGCTTTTTGGACATAATGGGAAGTTGGTTGCAGCTAAATTTGGAGCAGAACTGGACAAAAACCTCTCGGAGAATGCAAAACACCGTAGTTGATCTTCAAGCACAGAGATCTGCAACCGTCATTTTCAGAGCCACAAGTGACTCTTTGGACCTTTAACAAATAAAGTTAAAAAAATAATAAGGAACCAAGAGATGTTCTTTAAAAATATACAAACAAATGTTGGGTTTTGCAGTTTTTCATTTTTTCCCTAGGATATTTGCAGTGATTTCCACAGCAGAATTACTCTCCCAGAAATATCTGTTTTCCTATCATTAGTCTGGAAACTATGCTTGTTTTGTTTTGTTTTGTTTTGTTTTTTTTTTACATACTTTTTCACAAAAAAACATCCCATAAAAAAATTTCTGTCATTTTAAACATGTGAGAAAAGTGAGTTTTCAGATTTAGTCGGTATTCTTTGTTCTTCATCTTTAAAAAAAATAAATAAATAAAACATCAGATGAAAGGAATGAAGGTGGCCAGGTTGAAGTTACGAAGACCATAAAAACCGTAGCAGAAAATTGCTGGCTGGATTGAGAGGAACGCCATTTAAATTTACGGTTTGACTGTAACCCTCAGGTGGATTAATCACTCTGAGGTGTTACAAGAAGGAGACCTTTCATCTTTCCGTCGGAACAAAATTCAGTTTCTGGCGCAAAAGAACATCACAAAAAGCCCGGTGCATTTGGAAATAAGTTCACTCAAACTAAAAATATAAAATAGTTTTGCTACAGTCGTTAGGACTGTTGCTTCACAGCAAACAGACGTGCAGTCGGGACCTGCAAACACGGCGTTTGCATGTTTTCCCTGTGTATGCCCGAGTTCCCTCCGCAACCAAATCCCCACATGCATGTTTGGTATTTTTGTCTCTAAATTGCCCTTAGGTGTGACTGTGTCGCCCGTGATGGAAAGTGGTCCCGTCCAGAGTGTTCCCTGCATCTTGACCCCCTGCTACCTAGCAAGGATCCCAGTACCATGTGGAACAACTCCTACCCTTTAAACCTGAATTCCTGAATAGCTCATGAAAAACGCAAACGCTACATTTCCCCCGTAAAATACTCCACGCGCTCTTGGTTTAATATAAGTAGGAACAGAAATGTGCACCTTTCAGGAGCGATTTCACCTTTGCCTCGTGAGTTTTCACAGAGGGACGGTCAAGACAAAAGTCTTGAGTATCATCAAGACGTTTTTAGGCAAATCTGAGACTTCAATCATCAGAACTGAAATGATCTGATTCAAATGAGACACGCAGTGATTTAGATGTTACTTCACATTGTCAGTCAGGTTGCATTTAAATTACATTTAAAAAAAAAAACGTTTGATGATTCGAAACGTCTAAGTGTGAAAAAAGAAGACAAAAAACTAAAAAAAAAAAAAAATCCAGAAGGCTGAAAATACTTTGAGTTGCTTAGTAACAAGAACATTCATTTCTTCAGCTATATTTCTGTAAGTGTAAAGCAGTTATTCTTTAAAATCACGCAGACGTTGTATTTTCTGCTCTTCACTTTTGGCAGACTGGTCTCGTAAACCGGTAATGTGTTTACGACTACACACATCTAATCCTATACAATGGACTTAAATATACTGTCTACCATTCTCTGTGGTTTCTCTGGTTATAGTGTAAAACTTTACACACTCCAATCTCTTTTTAAGGAAACGGTGTGTGTGTGTGTGTATGTAACATATCTGTGATGCTTGTGTTTGGAAGTATAGCTTTACTTAAACAGCCACCACAGCCTGACTGAACCTCAGACAGTATAATATGATAATAACAAAGTTGAGCTCCAGCACAACTCCCATCTTATTTTCATTCCTAAATTCTTCTCTGGTCTGGATTTCCCACACTTTCCTTTGCAGTTTCTATACTACTCCTCTTTGGGGATTTTTTTTATTTTTTATTTTATTTTTGAGTCAGAGCAGATTTGTTGTTCCTTTTATCTCCGGAGTCGGAGCTAAAACAAGCAAAACAAATCACTGAGGAAGTCGGATTCAGCTAAACAAGACAGAGGTGTCCGAGTCATTTTGGGCCTTGAAAGTGTTAACATGGAGTGTTTGTGGATTGTGGACACAGTCCACACCGTAGAATATCATCACTGATTCTAAATACGCATCCCTGTTCTCTTAAAATAGACGTTCTGGTTTTCCAGAGCCTTGGCTGGAATGTGTATGTGCTTTTTCTTTTTTTCTATGTCCATTTGATCTTTTTTGTTTTCTGTTCCCTCAAGTTGAGAGAAAATATCTGCAAAAAACATTGTTGAAAGTCAGTTGTTTTTTTTTTTGTTTGTTTTTTTTTGCTGTTGTTGTTCTTCAGGGAAACTACAGCATTTTCATAAGGATGAGTCAAAGATTCATTGATTTGAAAGAAACACCTCGTTTTGTCTTAGTGACAACCTAAACTATATTTGAACCAGAATGACAAAAAAAAGAGTTGAAGCAGCTGAAGTAGTGAGATCGCGAGAACTACTTTCAAACACAAAGAAAACTGAGACGCATGGGAGAAAACAAACAAAAACATTGAAAATCATAGTGCAGAAACAGAAAAAAAATCTACAAAAAAAGTTAAAAGAATGAAAAAATCTATTCCATTGTTTTATTCTTAAAACTCACACAGCTTTATGAATGCCCACTAAAACAGCCGGGCTCTGCCATATTTGGATGATGATATAGAGACAGAGTAGTCAGAGAACGTCTTGTTTTTTTTGGTTTTTTTTAACTAAAAAAGGCAGTTTTAAACAGGATCGTGTCAAATGAGTGTGCAGCTCTTTATTGGCAAAACAGAAATAGGATGGAGTGTGAACTTCATCTGTGCAGGACAATCAGATTGGTTTCGTGAACATATTTCTCTAAAATCACCAACAACAATCTGCTTGTTGGAAGCTATTTTTGCCTTAGGGTTATGAAACAATTATAATCTTATGTTTAAGGTAAGGAACCATCCAAAGCTGATGAAAAGGTATGTAAACTTTGAGAGGTTTTCCAGGTGAAAAACTGTTTTCTTCACAGTTCTTTTTTTTATGTTCTCACGGCTCAAAATGTATGCCGATGTCCACAGGTCATGCAAAATAAATAATTCCTCTCTCCAAATTATTTTTCTGCATGCTAAAGCATGATAATTAACTTCAGCTGGCACAGGATTTGCTCCACATATGAATCAAATTAAGGAGAAGGTGGTTCATGTGCAGCATTAGCTACTCTGGACTTTTAGGTGCCGGGCACTTTGTGAAAAAAACAGACTGCAGCGGGCGAATAGAATATGAGAGGCATAACAGACAGAATAACATTTTGACAGCTAGTGAGTGAATCTCAACCTCATGTGGAGAAAAGTGACTTTCACAAACACTGTATGGTGCACGAAAATAAAATAGGCTGTTCTGGTCACGTAGTTGCGATGAGGGATGTTCTGACACGTCTGTCCACATCTAAGTGACAACAATGATTCTACCTGAATCCTGTCAAAATTTAAGTATTTCAAATTCTTTTTTTTCCTTTTTTTTTTTTTAACAGACAGTTATTCTCCACTGTGGTTAATTACAGGCAGATTGGGTGAGCCACACAGTTCAAATCTCTCCTTAAGAGTGCCAGTTTGTTAAGTCTCCTTGTTAGCACAATATTTCTCCTGACTTCTTCGTCCTCAACCATAAATAGCCATATAAATCTTTACCTTGTGAATTTGTAGACCTTGCTACTATCACTACTTTTTGTGGGTTGGCCTTTGGGCTTTAACTGCGTTTTCGGCTCTCTTGAGCTCATGTTGTTTTTCTTTATTGGTGTCACAGAAACAGATTAGTGACAAGCAAGGAAAAGTTATAGAAATCATATCTGTCATTTAAAAACCTGCTAACGCAGCTTCTATTAGAAGCAACACTATTAAGATGCTTGCTCAACAAATATTTTTCTGACATTAGGAGACATTTGTATTCTGTTGGAAGTTCATTCTAGCTTGTTTTTCATCAGATCACACTGAAGACTGAAGCTACAGATTATTCTCATCAATTGGTGACATTCAAATAAATGAATCCACTATGCTTTGCTCAAACAGCTGACCAAACCAATATATAGTGCCAGACATATTTGTTGGCAGGCAAGAAAAACATACTTCCACTGCAGTGGCAAAATCTCACAGCTAACAACCTTTCATTTGAGCACATTTATTAATTTAGGTAACATCCAATGTTAGGGAGTTTTTAACAAAACCATCTGTGACACAGTCATTGGTACTCCTGCTGTCAATATGTTGAAGGCGACTGATTGTGGGCCTGATAAACCATTTCTGTGTTTTTGGATCATTAACCTTGTTTATCACCCTATCATAGCCCTTAACATGCACAGTGCAATAACAATTTATAGGAGTGTAAGCAGAGACGGGATAGCTGCCTTGCTTGACACAGTTCAAGATGCTCAGATTTTTTTTTTTTTTTTTTTACATTATGTATCTAACTGCAAATATGGACAAGTTTAGACAGGTAGCTGTTTTCTGACTTTATGGCATGTTCCCTTCTGTTTTCTGTTTTGAAGAGTATTGGACATGGCATGTGAAACAAAGTGGAAAAAAAAAGAAAAAAGTTGTGAACCTCTTAGAGGAACTTAGAAACTCTGATAAACTTCCAAAATCTTTAATTAAAAAAAGAAGCTTCATTTACATTTGTTTTGAAGTGATTGCTAGATGTGCCAATAGTAACTGTGTTTACAAAAATAGAACTTCACACTACACTGAATAAATGCATTAAAATTAAAGGGTGAGTTGACAATTTGTGTCAGGTTGTGCAATAAAAACTGCATTTAAGTTAATTTTTTCACTGCAGGTTATATTTTTTTTATCATTATAAATGCATAATCACACATCAACAAGTATAAAATGGACCATAAATAAATCATTTTTTCTTTGACTGCATTTTTAGTGATGGATGATAAAATCCCTCAGGTCTAATAAAGACAGTCATGCACTATTGCACAATCAGCTTTAATCTGTGACAGAAAACTAGGTAGAAGTTTGCAGGAATACGCTTTAAACCTTCCAACTTGCTTTAACAAGGTTGAGGTTGCAATTTATAAAGTACAAAATATATCATGGAGTTGTGCTGACTGGGAAAGGAGATTGAATAATCAAATGAAATACTGGGCAGAGACAATAAAAAAAATTGCTTTGAGGAGCTACTGTACATAAATCTAGTTGTATGTGGGGAAAGGTTGAAGAAAAGCTTAATTATAAAAGTGTAATTAAATTTCTTTGTTTTTTTATTTTAGTTTCAAAGCTTTTTCTGAAAGGAAAAAAGAAAAAAAAAACAGCTTAGGGTTAGTGGTGTGCAAGTATGAAGAGTACTTCACAGACCGACACGCTTAATTGATGATGTATAATTGCGTCTGAGATTTAAAAAAATCATCCCATTTATAGTAACCCAAACTTTATAGAGCAAAAACAACAACACCAACAACAACATGAAACGACAAAAACAACTCCCGTGTTTCATGCACACGGAGACGAGCAGCCTACCTGCGGTCAGCTGGGCGACGCACAACAAGATCAACGCCACCTGAAAGCTCTGCTCCCCGGCAGCAGTCATGGCAAGAGGCGCATTTGCTCCCCCTTCCTGAGCGCACCGTCTCCGCAGGCAGCTACTCTACAGAAAACACCAGGATACACATCGTGTTTTTGTTTTGTTTCTTTTAAACGGGAAAGTCCGTGCACTCTCTGCGACCCGCCACAGTGAAACCGATCTGGGAGGAAACTGCAAAGCGCTGCTTGCTCCGCCTCTGCTGACCGGGATTTAGGCGGATTAGCGCCGCAGACCTCCGATCCAGACATGTGAATGGAGCAGAGTGAAAGTGTGCAGCGACATCCATTTAACCGCAGCAGGTCCACCTCCACCTCCTTGTCACTGCCTGCCTGATGAATATGGAAATTACCTCCAGTCTGCGTGCACAGTAAATATAATCAAATGAAGCTGCATCAACGTCGAGGACTTAAAAAAGATGGGAAAAAAGTTACATTTGATGAGTGTTATGCAATCATTAAACGATTTTAATGGCTTAATTGTGACATTTTCTAACTAAAACACTTCGAGAGTGATCTGAAAAAGGCTTTGTTTGTACATCTGCACAAATAGAGAAGATTAGAAATGAGCAATCCCTTAAAACCTGTGTGTCTCGTCCAATGACGGATCCAGTGAGATAATTTGAGATAACTGGAAAGGAATTTTGACTCGTTAAAACGTAATTGAAGATATCTTGAATTATTATTCTTACTAGTCAGAATGTAAATGCAGATATTTTAAATTAACATTCTGGATAATCAAAATGTAGTTTTGTCTTGTCAAAATGCATGTTTAGATATCTGGAATTTAATTACGGCTAGTCAGACGAAACTAAATTTATGTTAAAACTGCTTGCCATAATAGTATAATTCTTATACTTTTGACTCAAATGGCGGCTTTGTAATATCGTGATAAGGTAAACATTCCAATAGCCTACCTAAGTTTTATGTTAGTTTACTATCAATGCTTAGTTTTACTGTTCAAATTCATACAAAGAGTATTGATTAGAGGAATTCAGTTCAGAGAAAGTTTCACAGTAACACAGCTGATGCCTTGACAACGGCTCCTGGGTTTACATAAAGAGCAAAGAGTCTCTTTTCATGCACTTTGCATGGTGAACCTGTCTGTCTATCTATCTATGCGTTACTCTGGGTATTCTTCCTAAAACAAAAACAATCTTTTTAGATCAATTGGGCACTTTAAACAGTCAGGTAAGCGCGTGTTGTTGACAGGCCTGTTTCAGTGTTGACTTCAAATTATCAATGCCATTGAATGACTAGAACAGTGTTTTTCAACCACTGTTCCGCGGCACACTAGTGTGCCG